ATTTTATAAACCTCTTTAAAGAAAATTAGGGAAATATAGAAAAGTAGAAAGAATAGAAAAATTACCCAGAGTCACCGTGCCTATCTTTGTTAACATTTTTAGCATACTTCAGTGTTTGGTTTATTTTTTCTATAATTGTGGGCATACAGCACATATGATTTGTGTCTTACTTTAACTGAAGTAATAACTGTTTCCCTGTGGTCTTACTATAATACACTCTTTATAATTTTTTTGTTTTTGAGGAAGATTAGCCCTGAGCTAACATTTGCTGCCAATCCTCCTCTTTTTGCTGAGGAAGATTGGCCCTGAGCTAACATCCGTGCCCATCTTCCTCTACTTTATATGTGGGATGCCTGCCACAGCATGGCTTGCTAAGCAGTGTGTAGGTCCGCACCTGGGATCTGAACTGGCGAACCCTGGGCCGCCAAAGCAGAATGTGCGAACTTAACTGCTGTGCCACCAGGCAGGCCCCTATAAATATTTTTAATGGCCATAGGATGAAAGGGTTGTAATTTATGTCCTCATTACTCTATGGTGGCAACATGATATTATTTCCAATTTTTCACATTTCACCAATAGTGCCATGAGTAATGTCCTTAAGCATATATAGTCCTGTACCACATAATGACGTTTTGATCAATGATGGACTGCATATATGATGGTGATCCCATAAGAATATAATGGAGCTGAAAAATTCCTATTGTCTAGTGACATTGTAGATGTCATTAACTGTTGTAGCACAACACATTACTCACGTGTTTGTGGTGATTCCAGTGTAAATAAACCTACTGCTTCATCCCAACATCAAAGTACTGTTTCTCCCTTCAAACACCATCTCTTGGATCTAACCAATGGATCAAGGAGTTAAAGCAGCTTTTAAGGCCTACTACCTGAGGAGGACCTTTGCCCAGGCTATTGCTGCAACTGAGAAAGACACTGAGAAGACACTGATGCAATTCTGAAAGGATTACGACATCTGTGACTGCATCAAGAACCTTGGTTGGGCTTGAGGTGATGTCACCAAGGAGTATATGCAAGGCGTCTGGAAGAAGACACTTAAGAAGTTTGTCTATGACTTCAAAGGATTTGCCAAGAATAAGAAGGTTGCGAAAATCAACCAGGCTGTGGTTGAGATGGCAAACAACTTTAACCTGCATGTGGATGAGGAGCTCCTAGAGTGGGTCCTGAAGAATTGAATAAGGAGAAGTTATTGGAACTGGAATAGGAATGCATGGATGAAGAAGAGGCAAGAGAAAAGAAAACTTCAGGAGAAGAAAAAGCCGCAGCAGCCCCAAGAAAATTCACAGTGAAGGGTTTAGCAGAAGCTTTGTAGACCTCAAGAAGCTCCTTAAAATGTTTGAAAATATGGACCCCAACCCCAAAAGGTTTCCATTAATACAGAGGAATGTTCATGGTGCATTGTTTGCTTACAAGCAAATCTATGATGAAAAACAAAAAACCAAGCAAACCAGCATGGACATATTTCCGAAAAGAGTGACACCACCTCAAGAAGAGCCTCAGGCAGGTCTTTCAGGAGGGATTCCAGAAGAAGGCATTATTATCATAAGAGATGACAGCTCCATGAGTGTTATTGCCCCTGGAGACCTCTCTTTGGGACAAGATGTGGAGGTAGAAGACAATAATACTGAATCTCTTGACTCTGTGTAGGACTAAGCTAATGTGTTTCCTCTGTCTTAATTTTTAACAAAAAAGTTTAATGAGTAAAATAAAATTAAAAATTTTAAAAACAGAAAAATTTTATAGAATAAGGATATAACGAAAGAAAATATTTTTGTACAGCTGTACAATGTGTTTGTGTTTTGTGTTATTACAAGAGTCGAAGTTAAAAAAAGTAAAAGTTTATAAAGTAAAAAAGTTACAGTCAGCTACCGTTAATTTACCATTGAAGAAAGAAAAACATTGTTTTGTAAATTTAGTGTAGCCTAAGTGTACAGTGTTTATACAGAGTCTACTAGGCTCTAGGCCTTCACTTTCATTCACCAACACTCACTGACTCACTCAGAGCAACTTCCAGTCCTGCAGCTCCGTTCATGGCGAGTGCCCTCTACAAGTATACCATTTTTTATCTTTTACACCATATTTTTACTGTGTCGTTTCTATGTTTAGATACACAAATACTTACTATTGTGTTACAAGTGCCTACAGTATTCAGCACAGAAACATGCCTTACAGGTTTGTAGCAGCAATAAGCTAAACCACTTGGCCTCAGTGTGCAGTAGGCTATACCATCTAGGTTTGTGTAAGTGCACTCTATGAAGTTTACATAATGACAAAATCACTTGATGACACATTTCTCAGAACATATCCCTGTTGTGAAACGATGCAGAACTGTAGCATTTTCTTTCTTTAAAGTTATTTTTTTAAGGAAAACTTTTATCATCTAGGATTAGACACAGAGTTCTTATGAATGACACCAAAATAAGATATGTAAAGAAAAAATTGATAATTTGGACCTAATCAAATTAAAAACTTTCTCTTAAGATACCGCCAAGAGAATGAAGGGACAAGCTATAGACTCAGAAAAAATATTTGCAAATCACATATCTGACAAATGCTATGCATCCAGAATATATAAAGAAGCTATTAAAACATGACAATAAGAAAACAAACAACTCAATTAAAAAATGGGCTAAGGACTTGAACAGAATCTTTACTAAAGAAGATATAAGGATGGCAAATAAACACATGAAAAAATGCTCAACATCATTAGTCACAGATAAATGCAAATACAAAACAACAATTAGATACCACTACATAGCTATCAGAATGGCTAAAATAAAAAATATTGAGAATACCAAGTGCTGAAGAGGAACTGGAATTCACATATTGCTGGTGGGAATGCAAAGTGGTATAGCCACTTGGAAAAACAGTTTTGTGTAATGTTAAATATACCCTTACCACTGACCCCGTGACCACACTCCTGGGTATTTACCCTAGAGAAATAAAAACTTATGTTCATATAAAAGCCTGTACACATGTGTTCATAGCAGATTTGTTTGTAATAGCTAATAACTAGAAATTACCCAATGTCCTTCAATGAGCGAAGGCATGAACAAACTGGTGTATTCACACAATGGAATACTAGTAAGTGGTAACAGGAACAAACTACTGATATACTAAACAACTTGAGTCCATTTTAAAAGCATTATGCTGAGTGAGAGAAGCTGGTCAAAAGGTTATATATTGTATGATTCCACTTATTTGACAGTCTCAAAAAGACATTATAACAATAGCAATCAAATCAGTGGGTTGTCAGGGGCTAGGGGAAGGGGTGTGACTCTAAAGGGATGGCTCAAGGGAGCTTTTTGGGTGATGGGACAGTTCATTTTCCTGATTCTCGTGATTACAAGAATCTATATATGTGTTAAATCTCATAGAATTCTACTTCAATAGAAAAAAAGGTCAAAGTTACTGTATGATTATTTTGAGGAATTAAGTTAAATTTAGAAAGAGAGGGGTTTTTGAGGGAAAGTCATCAAAAGTTGAATAAATGGGGTAACAGTCAGTAGTAGGATGAAAGAGCATGAGAAGCTTCATTAACAATTCAGCTCAACAATGTGGAAATTAAGATGCGATGAGCCTGGGCAAGCCTGGGATAAGAAGGAAAAGTTACACCCACCTATTCAGTGTTGTTTCCATAAGTGCCTGAGTCTCTTCAACTGAGAACTGTCTTCTCATGAATCCAGTCCAGAGAGGGTATGGTGGGGATAGGGAGCAAAAAGGAACTGCGTCACTGCACTTTGGAAAATCAGCCATGTTCTGCAGAAAATCTTGTTTTAATCAGTCTATGACCATGTGTACTCCTGACCAGTGGGCAAACAGGCATAACTCTTCAGAATTTTGCATCCCAGTACTGTGTCCAAAGGAAAAGAAGTTCAGAAAGCTGGTCCTTGGTTGGCTGACGAAAGCTCCCAGATACAGAGGGGAAACTGACAAATTGTAACAAAAGAGTAAGACCCAAAAACTTCATAGAATTGTATGACCATTCCCCAAAATGAAGGTAACAGAAGCAATTCAGTCTTTCATATGAGTGAATTATTTGTTGGTTACGTGGAAATTTACGCATTTTAATATGGAGATTCTTAAGGGAAATTTAATTTTTTACCCACTGATATGCCATTTCATGATTGTTAAATGTTCCATTTAAGACTGAAGAGAATTTTAATATATTTTTCTGTTTTTTTAGGATGATAAATAATCATAAAAGATATGATGGAAAATTTTAATTCAACTATCATGTATATTCACATACATTTGTCTCATTTTCCCATATTTTCTGTAGCTTTTCTTATAGTCTCAAAGTCATCGAAAACCTCAGGGTAATAAAAAAGCATAGATATGCTAATAAATAAAACAATCGCAATTCTAAGTCAACTGAGAAATAAATTTGTAAATATATTACCAACTTCTTGTATATTACAATAACGGATCGTATGTGTTATAAAAATTGAAATCTCAATAAGAAAAATACTATACATCTGTTGGTTTGTGAACACCCCTGTACATAAAGAGCAAGGACTAAGAAAGAAGCAGAGCACTCCAGATTGGTAGGGGGCAGGATTAACAAGCACAGGAACTTACTCACAAGGCTTGTCTTGGGTGGCTGCAGGATGAGTAGATCTCCATACTTGCCCACCAGAATCTTAAAAGTTTATACAGAGGCCTTCACTAGGTTCAGCCATGTATGCCATCCAGATGGTCTCAATAACACACTGCTCTCTCAAGGATACATCCTTAAAAATGGCTCCCACTTTGGGAACAGTGGGCAGAATGTACAATCCAAGGATAGGGGAGGGTGTGAGGAGCTTCCAATTGCCCAAGTCCAGCTTGCAGGTCAATTGGCAGTCATGTCCTCTCAATGGCAGCCTCCAACAATATCCAGTTTGAATTTATGTCAAGAAATCTGTTCTAAGACATTAACAATCTAAAATGTCCTTAACCAGCTTCGTCATACCTTGGAATACTGAAAATACCTTTTATTTTCTCCAAATGTATTGGATTTTATTCAAATAAGAGTTGAAATGATAGATTTTTAAAGCTGTAAGACACTTTAAAGATCCCTTATTACCACCCTTACAGATGAGGAGATTGAGAGAGAAAGAGTCCCACAGCTAGTTGGTGCAGAACTGGTATTTGCCAGAAGTCAGTGCCTCCCTTCTCTTCCCTCTGCTCTTCAGTGGTTTTCCTCCACAGGCCCTTAAAAGTGTACAATTTTTCCTGACTGGTCGGGGGAACTTCTGAATGGTCACATAATCTTTGGGTAACATTGCCTGAAAACAAACAGAACATATACTTCCTAAATTTTCAGAGCATTGTGTTTTGAGGGGCAAGTAAAATTATTACAGTTTTGTTCACTTTACTCTTTATGGTGTATATAGAGCTAGAGAGAATCTCTAAAGGAAAGGATAAGAGTTGGTTTGCTTGCCTGCTACCCTCTGGATATGCCTATACTACCTTAATATTTTGTTTGAGGAGATAACAGGAAAATATGATAATGACTCAATTGCAAAATCAATTCAGGGAAGTGTTTCAGTAGACATAATTAGATTTGTTGTAGGAAAGAGATTCTCCTATGAAGTTGGGGGTTTGGTGTTGGAAGAAAACAATTACAACTGAGGTGTGTGTATCTAAACTTGACTGCTCCTTGGCTTGTGAGTGGGGTCTACCTGTATGAATGCCAGCTGGTAACTGGCAATAAATGTTCAGCAAATGAGTGAATGAATGCTACTCTTGCCCCATAAAATGTTATCTATGTCTACAACAACTTAAAGAAGTATTAAGATGATATTTCAGCTCAATATAAAGAAGAATTTTCTCAAGTTAATTTTTTTAAATGAAAGAGAAAAATTATTTAAAAAAGAAAGAAAGAATGGGTTATCTTCTAGAATATTTACTCTCCTATTCTTTGTGCAAGCAGAGGCCAGAAAACCACTAATAGGAATCCAGTGGAGGACATGAATATACATCATCTAAGATTCCTTCCAACTCTGAGATTCAATGCTTCTGTGGTAAATGTGTTGCCTTATGTTCAAAATCATTCAGTATTATTCTCTTATCCACATCTTTCTTACTTTTTCTCTTCAATTTGTCTTTCTTAAGTCAAAAGATTTGGTAAAAATATTGATGAAAATTGATGTAATTATGCTATGTGAACATATCTTATCTATATCTATATCTACCTATTCCTATATATAGCACATATATTCATATATTCCTATATACGAAACGAATCAAAAAATTTCAAAACCTTAGTTATGTAATTGATTTACTTGAGTATCAATTAATTTATTTTATCTATCATGAATGTCAAGTGCCAAAGAGTGATATCTGGTCATTAAGATCAGAATGTCCTGGGGCCGGCCCTGTGGCCAAGTGGTTAAGTTCTCGTGCTCCACTCTGGGGGTCCAGGGTTTCGCTGGTTCAGATCCTGGGCGCAGACATGGCACCATTCATCAGGCCATGCAGAGGCGGCATCCCACGTGCCACAACTAGAAGGACTCATAACTAAAATATACAACTATGTACTGGGGGAATTTGGGGAGAAAAAGCAGAAAAAAAAAAAGAAGCTTGGCAACAGTTGTTAGCTCTAGAGCCAATCTTTAAAAAAAAAAAAAAGAATGTCCTAATAAACTATTTCTATTCCATTTACTACCAAAAGGGATTGGCTATTTGGTGATTCTGTTGAAAATGATGCAAGTATGCATCTATAAGCCTCAACTAGGAGTCCATATTTGAATATTTTTTTATATTAACTTTTCTCTCAAGGAAATAATAATGATAATATGATAAATGTTTATACAGGAATTTATAATTTGTAAAGCAATTTCACATATTTATTTGATATAGTGCTTTTTACACCATATTATAGCCTCACACAATCCTGCTGTTACTACCCTTTTATAGACAAGAACACTTAGGTTCAGAGCAGTTGCGTGATTTGCTCAAAGTTACCCAAACAGTAAGTGATTGAATTGACACTGAAAACCCAGTTTTCCAATTCCTGATTCCACGGAAATTCCTTCCTCACTACACTAATAATTGATAAATGTTCTCAGCAGTTTCTTCAAAGAGGTAATTAAGTTAATAATGGGGTTGTTTGATTTCTATTTGAATGCTCTTCAACGTAAAATGTAGGAATGGGATAAATTAAGTCCTAGAGAAATAGGTCCTACAGAAACATATTGTGTGATTTAGATTTTTTTCAAAATCTCTTTAAAAATTATAACAATGATATATAACATTTTAATAAATATAATTAGGAAGCATTTAAATGTTCACAAGATCTGCTACTATATAATAAAATGACAAATCAAACTATGGTATAATGCCAAATAGGAATATATCATGACTGTATCTATATGACTCTAAAATAACTGGATATTTTTTAAATTCAATATTGCAGAGTCCAATCATTTAATTAACCTTCCCATTCTTTGGTCATATTTTTCACATAGCAGAGGTAAGGCCTCTATTTAAAGAAACATAAATACTCAAATGAAAATTGAAGAATTCAGCCCAAAATATCTGGTTTTTCTTATGTGAACCTTTTGCTAGTTATTTTTCATATTTGACTTCAGGGTCTGCTCTTAGATCTTAAGATTTTGAGCACTGAAACTATATCTAGATTATATTTTTCTCCAACACTCTGTTAGGAACAGAGGTGTGGTCTAACAAATGTGTATTGAATTGAATAAAACATCAAACAGATGGGCTCCAAGATATCCTACTCCATGATCTTTGGTAATTTTCCACAGCTGTTTGTTTCTCAACAAAATGAGAACCAATACTTTCAACATAGCCGACAACTCCTTCTTTCCTAAAATCATTTCATCCCATGGCTTGAGAACACGTCTCTCCTGGTTTCCAGCTCTCCCTCTTGCTTTGCCTTTCCCTTTAGTGTTGGTGCTTCCCAAGATCCTCTTTTCTACTTCCTCTGTTCCCTTTCCACATTATCCCTGGGAATCTTCATACAACAATAATTCCCAAACCCATATCTGCAGCTTATAACTTTCAGTAGGGTTCTAGACGTATCTATCTAGCTGCCCAGAGGAGAGCTTCACATCTTCGCTTGAATATTATACAAACACCTCAACCTGAACTTATTCTCTTTCTCCACAATGGGCTCCTCTTATTATGTCCATTGTTCACTTAGTCTTCGAAGGCAGAAACCCTAGAGTCCTTGACTCCCTCTGCCCCTCATGCACTACCTCCTGTGTCTTCCATGTCCTGGCGACTTTGCCTTCTTAATATCTCTTTATCTTGGTCTCTTCTTTCCATCCTCATTACCACAGCTCTTACAGAGGCTCTTATAATTTCTCTTAAATGATCTAGTCTCTCAACCCATTTTCAATGCTATAGCCTGGGTCCTCATAAAATGAAAGTATGATTAGGTCCCTCCTGGCTTAAACTGTATCTCACTAGCTCATCCTTGCCCTCAGGATAAAATCCAGCTTCTCAGGAGAACCTTACAGGCCTACCATGATCTTACTCCCTCTCCCTCCTCCAGCTTCTTCCCTTGTCTCTATGCTTCAGTGCAAGCCATATTAACCTACTTTTATTTTCCTCCATATGTGATCCTCCATTTGTGCTTATATACCATTGCAGGTGTCTCATACTTTCAGGCAAGAAATGAAGGCAGGAAATAGGGAGTCCATACTCCCACTTCAGCAGATTAGAAGGAATAAGATATCCAAGGACAATATGAGTAGTGGCAGTTACCAAAAGGAAAGGAAAACAGGCCAGGGATAGAGATTTGTGGTTAATAAGAAAAAAGAATGGAGTTTAGAAGTTGGAATATCTTTGTGGATTTCTGCAAAAAGAGGAAAAACAAGGGAAATGTCTGGAGAAGAAAGAGGAAATGTCATTACTCACAGCCAACTTGAAAGCTAAGGAAACCATGAATCCTTGATTTCCTGATTCCCATAGTTCTCCAGAAGGCATTGGGTAATGACATTTCACCTATCTTCTCATGCCCTTTTCTCTCCTAATTAATAACAAAATTAATAATGGCTAGTATTTACTGAGAAGTTAATATGCACCAATCATTTTGCTTAAGTGCTTTATATAATCTCTTATTTAATTCTCACATCAACCTTAAGAGGCAGGTGGTTTTATTCTCATTTTACGGAGCAGGGCACTGATGAACATGGGTCAAATGACCTGAAAGAACTTTCCACATTAGCACAGCGAGGAAGAGGAATAATTTGCTCATATATCCATCTAGAATCAGAGTTAAAGAAAACTGACATCTCTTAGCCTACCTCTCTCTCTTATCTATGGGTAAGAGCTTTGTTTTCATGGTAGATTTTTTATTATAAGACAATTATTTTATGAATGATACTAAATGTATTAAATTCTGTCTCCTTTATTTAATGATTGCCATGTGCATACCATGAAACTTTCTCCCTGAGAAAAACTGGACTGTGGTGATTGTCTTTGTTAGATTATTCTTTTCTCTTTTACAGCAGATACACAGATGGACAAAGGGTTAATTGTGGCAGTTTGAGCTATCTTAACTGAACTGAATTTAATGCATAGCTAATTCAATCAATTGATTTAATGGCCTTGTAGAGACATGAACTTTTTCATGAGAGAACTAGAGATGCAATTTATTAATGACATCATTCCAAACCTCTATGTGTATAAACAAAAATCTTAAACATGAAGAACATACAAAGATATGAGACACCATGAACTACACTTAGTAGAATGTATTAGTAGCAATGCTCTACTGGCATCAGAGCCGATATCACAGCAAATTAATAAGATATCAGCTGCATAAGAACAGAGGGATTTTTATCATCTAAATGTGTATCCTTCTTTCTTTTCCTTATACCAAAGATATTTAGGAGAAAATATTTTAAAAATCAGTATAAATAAAAAGCTTCTCACCAATATGACACCAATCAGAGTCTCAGACTTAAAAGTGGTGAAAAACATCTTACATATTCTTCCTTTGACAGTCTATCTTCTCATATATACTTACCATGCAACTGCTTTTCAACCTAGCATGTATATGACATCAATCTCCATGTGAACAAATAAGATAATTATATTAAAAATACACTGCAATTGAGAGAGATGAGGCAGTAGAGAAATGGAGGAATGTGAGGGAGAGATATTTGCAAAACAGTGGCCCATATTCTAAGTATGCTTTATTTTGAAAGACCCTATCCTCTTTGTATTTAGAAAAAATCTTATGTTCTAGCCAGAGCAAAATGAATTTGGATGAACTTTTTCATTAGACTTGTACATGACGGTATTTCCTTGTCATCTGGTGGTCTGGACATAATTTACTTTTTGAGAATTGGCAACTAAGAATTTTTAGAAACACATTAACTCTTTCATGTGAACAGGACCCATATAGTAATCTACAGATGCTATGTACAAAATGCTCCTCTAGTGAACAACCATTGGTTCACAATTGCCTAAATTAAGTCTCAGGAGTAGAATAAAGCCCTTGGCTGATGTAAAAACAACCACCACCATATAATAATCCATATTTATTTTGTGTGTGAGCCAATTGAAATCCAAGGTAATAGTTAGGCTGTGTCTGGTCAACAACACAATAAGAAAAAGGACATTGGCATAGCATTTTCAGCCATCTGGGTGGCTAAATAAGATTACTGCTAAGAGCTGACTAGAAATTATCTGACGGATTTAATCAAAACAGATACTAGTTCTGGATAATTCAGACCAAAAGACTGATGTTTCTTCCTACTAGGGAGTCATTTGAAGAGGGAATTTGAAATCAGTGCAAACGATGTCTTTAAGTCTTCCCTTCACTGTATGAAGACAAAAGATCTGCCTACATAAAATCACTGAAAGAACCATTTGAAGGGCAATTTTTCAGCTGATGGGCAATTGGGAGCCATTTTGTTACTCAAATTCTTTTTCCAGGAATAACCATCAAAGCACCCACGAAGAGTCTTCTTTGTTTTTAGAATCCATTAGTGTTGCTAATAGAGAAAGTGGAAAACTTACTGCCCAAACTATGAGAATTTGGCTAAAAATTATCCAGACATTGAACTGGGCTCAAACTGAGTGGTAGTTTGTCACATTAGAATTCTGGTCACTTAACATAAGGACACAGGAAAACTATTCAAACTAACAAAAAACAAAACATAATAAAACAAAAATAACAGGTTGTATGTGGTGAACGGGTGGGAGAAAACTAAGTGCATTGATTGACGCAGCTAACCAGTCTGACGGAAAGGTTAAATCACCAAAAATGGTTGAAATAGCCTGTGAGAGTTGGTAAGATTTAGTCCAGGTTAGCAAATCCTTATTCTGCATTTGTAACCATGTGAGCATCACTACCCTCTTTGATGGAATAGGATATTGTCCCTGCCTCAAATGTCTCAAACACATAAATCAATACTTGCAGTTCAGTTCCATATACCTGTGATGGGCGGATGAACAAGAATCAGAATTTCTACAGATTTTGGAGTAAAAAATTGAGGATGAGTGAAAGAAAGAGAATCAGGAAATATGTCATATTTTCAGTGACAAAAAATACAACTTTAAGATAAATAGTGACCAAGATGGCCTTAAGGTTCCCCTCAGCTTGATTATACCTTTAGAAAGGCTTGCTTCTGACTCTAGGCCCCTGACCTACCTTTTCTTAGAGCATTTACTTTAGAAAACTTGTAATTATGAATTCTTTCTTGGTTCCCTTGAGATGTAAATCTTCTTAGAAGCCCCTTGCCAGTTTTACAACCCAAGACTGTCTTTCTCAAGGACGAGGAGCCATCCTCTTGAAACGTAATCATCAAGGAATATAGAGCCCCTATCTCCCAGTCTCTGTGGAGGGTAGGAACCTAACTTCCATGGCACCAGTTGATAAACATAGGTGGCCTAATCACAGAGAAAAACATTTAAAACTCAGGAATAACTCAATGTGCTGAACACATCCCATTGATCAACCTCCCTCCAATGTCCTCCAATACTTTTCTACCAGCTCACTCTGCTCTTAAAAACCCTCCTTCCCTTTGTTTCCACGGAGTTGAGTTCAGACTTGCTTCTGGTTTCTCTCCCCTGTTGCAATAGCTTTGAATAAAGTCTTTCTGGCCTGTTTAACTTTGCCTGATGCAATTTTGCTCCAACAACAGAAAGTTAACAAGTAGACAAGATGGGACGACATTTCCAGGCAGAGAACACTGTATTGGTGAAGGTGTGGAAGTATCATATTCCACCATGTATTGGGGGAGATCTACCCATATTTGCTGCATATGTGAGGCTACAGTCCTTTCTGCCTACCCCCCACCTCCACCCCATCAGCAGTGCCAGGACACAGTTAGGTGTGCTTCTGCTAATACCACCCATTGTCTTCTACTGTCTCCCTCCCAGCTGGGAGGAATCTTCCAAGACCTACATCCTCAGTTCCCTCCTATTACCATTTCCCTCTGCTCCCTCCATACAGTCTCCTAGGTGAGTAGGTTTGAATACAAACCTGGCTGCCACAGTCCTACACCGTGGCAAGGAGGTAGAGTTGGCTAGTTGTCTGAATAGGGCATAAGGAAAATGGAAACTTCAGGCAGAAAACATAAATTAGTATCTCCACAAAATTTACCAGACCAAGTCCAACCTCCTCTGTAAAGCAGTTCTTGAGTCCCACACTAATTTAAAAGCTTCACCTCTGTGATCTCAAAGCCCCACCCACCCAGCTAACAGGGCCTCTGCTCTGGGGCACTCTCACATTGAGTCCAAAAGTGCAGAATCCTCCTCAGTCTGTTCCCTCTTCAGATCTGTCACTAGAACTCTCCAGTGTCCATTCAGTCTTTTCTGTCTTCCTGATGAAAGTCCTAAGAGGTCTTCTAATATAGTTTTGCCATTTTATAGAAAGAAACTAAGGCCCAGAGTAGTATAACCACAAACCTAAATGCATGAAGCTGGCCAATTACATGGTCTAGATTAGAACCCATACTCCTACTTACCTGTTTAGTGCTTCCCTTCCCTGTGGAAGCACCTCTGGGCAACTTGCTGGACCATCCTAGGTTTCAGATTGCTTATCTGCAAGACAGGGTAACAGCCACTACTTCACAGGGTTTTTATGAAGAGAAGTAATACGCAAAAGCACTTGATGGAGTCAGTCTGACAGTGTGTGTTCCATGAACTCTAGATCTCCAGCCAGTTCTCTTCTTTCCTTTCTCTCATTGCATTTATCACAGCATACTGATATCACTTATTTTTCTATCTCAGTTCACTGCAAGCTCCTTCGGGTAAAGAATTGGTATTTATTTGATGACCCACCTCTACTATTTCATCCAGTATAGTTGCCTAGTAAATGTTTGCTAAATAAATGAAATGATAAAGCCCTTAAAAAGGTGTGTAAACATAGCCACAGATTTTTGTGGGCACCAAAACTGTTCAAAAGTAATCCCCTGAGGGGGGAGGTAATGGGAGTTATTGTCTAATGCATATGGATTTGCTGTCTGGGATGATGAAAAAGTTCTGGAAACGGATAGTGGCACTGGTTGCACAATTTTCAAATGTACTTAATGTCGCTGAATTGTACCTTTCAAAATTGTTGAAATAGTAAATTTTATGTTTTGCATGTTTTTTCACAATTATAACAACAACAACAAAAAAGCCATCCTCTTGAGAAGTTGCTTCCATAGAGAACATCTGTAGGGTTCCAGAAGAATGCAGTCCATGTTTACAACGGTTGGAGACTTGACCTCAATCTGAAGTTACTCTTCCCTTCCTCACCGCCCTACCAACAAAAGGAGAATGGAATGTGATTCTCTCCCCAGCTCCACACATGTGGCAGGCAGAGGCAGTGGTAGGAGCCAGAGAGACATTGTTCCTGTAAGTTCAAAGAGGAGCTGTTCCTCGGCAAAAAATAACTGGTGGCAACCATCTTGGGAAAAATATATTCCAGAAGTTTAAATACAGTGGACAACTCTGTATTTTAAATCTGAATGTTTAGAACCTGCAGATATAGGGACTAAGAGCATTTTGTATTTGCAGATTAGAGCATTGACCACTAGGTACTCGGACCTTGCCTTGAACTTGCACAGGCTGCTCAGAAGGGTCGCTGATTACCTCCTGGGATTAACCTTCTCTTCTGCCTCCATCTTCCTGCTGGCTGCTCGTGCCCTATGATGTCAGATGACAGCATTGCTGTCACCACAGAACAGTTAGCCAGAGAGGTTGGAGTTAACGAAGGCTGCCCCATTGTTAGGTAGCAACGGGGAGGAAACAGTCAAGACTTCCTGTGTCCACAGTACACAGGTTAGGCAAGCAGCGAATCTTATAGAACACAACTTTTGCCAGCTTCTTGTTGTCTGGGTGTGCAGCCAAGCTTGGGAGGTCCCCAAAATGCTACCTCCTCTGACCAGGGCCTCTGGACTCTATGAGGACTAGTTCCGACTCCCGGTTCCCTTTCTTTCCTCCCTCCCTATCTGGGGTGGGAGAAATTAGAAGCTATGCAAGAAATTTGAAATATGGAACATTTCTTTAAATTACAAGTTTCTTGTAATTGATAAAAAAAAATAAAATCATAGCTAGTGTTTTATAGCCACCTAGTGGCCAAAATTGGGCTCTGCAGTAGGAAATTTAATTTTCTCTCAAACACTAGGTCTAAATTCTAACTTTATTTGCTGTCTAGACACTGCTTAGAGTCAGATAACATATAAGAAATCTTACATTAACTGAGGAGACTAAATATGAAAAAGTCAAATATATGGGTCACTTCAGAATGCTTTCGAAACCCTTAAATTTCTGGGTTTTCCAAATGGACGTATGACTGAGACTCAGTTCTGAGATTGTGATGATAATAACAATCATTATAAAAATAGCTAACATCTATTGTGTGCTTAATATGTGTCAGACAATATTCTAATGCTTTTCAGTGCTACTCTTTTACCCTACAATAGCTCTATGAGGCAAATTCTCGTATTACACCCCATTTTTAAAAGAGAAAGCTGAGATAAAGAGAAGTGAAATAATTTGCCCCAAGATCAACCACCTACTAACTGGTAAAGCTAAGATTTAAAATCCAACAGACTAGCTTCAGAACCTTAAGTCCATTTAGCATAGGATAAATACGTACATTAGGTACATGTAGGACTGTGGAACCAATTAGTAATGTGAAACTTGCTAATTTTTTGACCAGAATGTGGTTAAGTTTCAAATGTATGAGAAAAGCAGAAGGGCCATAGGAATTCAGGGATGGAACTTGACGAAAGGCATTGCTCAGGGAAATTGCAGAGACAGCAGAAACTTGACTTCAAACATTGGTGTGAAGTGGAAAGGTACAGAGGAGGAAGCGTGGCCCAAGTAAGAAGGGACAGCAGGATCAAAGGCAGAGATGCAGTGAAGTGAGGGAGGGTGGGTGCAGTGAACAGAACAGGTGAATGAAGTACGGAACAGGAGGACTTTCGTGGAAAGAGAGGAAAGTCAAAAAGGTCAGATTGGGCCATATTGTTCATGGAGGACCTTAACATCAGATTAAGAAGTTAGACCTTTAGCCAAGTGGTTGTAGAGAATTAGTGAGAGTTTAAAAATAGTATTTATTGCTTTTATAATTTGTTATTACACTTTACATAACAGTTATACCATATTTTAATGTTTCAGTTTTGTCTTTTATTACAATACATGTCTATTGTAAATAAATAAAATAGAAGCATAAACACTGAAAGCAAAACTAAAATTATAGGCAATTCCAAGCTCATACTATTAACGATCACTGTTTTTTTTGCTGAGGAAGATTCGCCCTGAGTTAACTTCTGTTGCAAACCTTCCTCTATTTTGTATGTGGGCTGCCGCCATAGCATGGGCACTGACCAGTGGTGTAGGTCCATGCCCAGGAACCAAACCCAGGCCGCCGAAGCAGAGTACACCAAACTTAACCACTGGGCCATACGTGTGTATGTATCCTTTTGAAGAAAAAACATAGATCCCATTCAAAAATAGAATAATGATTTACAAACTGTATTAGACCTTATGGTTTTCTCTTAATATATCATAAACATCTTCCTATGATGACACATGTATTTTTACAGCAAAATTTAATGGCTTCACCCTATACAAAATAATTTACTCAATCTCATATTTTTGAATTGCCTTTACATCTTTGTTGAAAAATCAATAATCATATATGTGTGGGCCTCTATTCTGTTCTATTGATCTATCTGTCTTTTTTGATTCTAATGTCACAATCTTTTGCTGTTGTTGTTGAGGAAGATTTTCGCTGAGCCAACAACTGCTGCCAATCTTCCTCTTTTTGTATGTGAGCCACCACCACAGCATGGCTACTAACACATGAATGGTGTAGGTCCACACCCAGGAACCAAACTGGGGCTGCCAAAGTGGAGTGCACTGACCTTAACCAATAAGCCACCAAGGCTGGCCCTCTAACAATATCACAATCTCGGTCAATGTAACTTTACACTAAGACTTGAAACCAGGTAATATAAGTTAGCCAAACTTGTTCTTCTTTTCAAAGTTGTTTTGGCTATTCTATGTTCTCTGCATTTCCATATGAATTTTAGAATTAGCTATCAACATCTACAAATGAGCCCGCTGAGATTTTAGTTGGGATGGTGTTATATCTGTAGATCAAACTGGGGAGAATTGATATTTTATCTGAGTTTATCCATAAACATGGCACTTATCTCTGTTTATCTTGGAGTTCTTTAACTTCTTTCAGTATACTTTGCAGTTTGCAGTACACAGGTCTTGTACATTTTTTTTTTTTTTAAAGATTTTATTTTTTTTCCTTTTTCTCCCCAAAGCCCCCCGCCATTACATAGTTGTATATTCTTCGTTGTGGGTCCTTTTAGTTGTGGCACGTGGGACGCTGCCTCAGCGTGGTTTGATGAGCAGTGCCATGTCCGCGCCCAGGATTCGAACCAACGAAACACTGGGCTGCCTGCAGCGGAGCGCGCGAACTTAACCACTCAGCCACGGGGCCAGCCCCGTCTTGTACATTTTTTTCTCATATTTATCTCCAAGTAGTTCATATTTTTATGCTATCATAAAAGGTATTGTTATTTTAATTTCAATTTCCAATTGTTTGTCTCTAGTATATTGATGTTGTATCTTGCAATCTTGCTAAACTTACTTATTAGCTCTAGTAAATATGTACATATTTACATATAGGATTTTCTATATAGATGATCACGCCATTTGTGAATAAAGACAATTTTACTTACTCATTTCCAGTCTGGATGTCTTTTATTTCTCTTTCTTGCCCGGTCGGACTGCCTAAAACCTCCAGTACCATGTTGAATAGAAGTGGTGAGAGTAGACATTCTTGCCTGTTTCCTCATCTTAGGAGAAAGTCTTTCATCATTAAGTATGATGTTAGCAGCATAGTTTTTGTAGTTGCCCTTTATCAGGTTGAGAATATTCCTCTATTCCTAGCTTGCCAAGTGTTTTTATCAGGAGCAGATGTTGCGTACTTGTCAAATGCTTTTTCTTCATCTAGTGTGATGATCAGATTGTTTTTTAGTCTGTTAACATGTGAATTACATTGGTTGGTTTTTGAGCATTAAACTAACTTTGCATTCCTGAGATAAGCCCCACTTAGTCACGATGTATTATCCTTTTAATATAGTGTTAGATTTGATTTGTTAAAATTTGTAAGAATTGTGTCTCTATGTTCATGAACAGTATTGTTATTGTTCTGCAGTTTTCTTTTTTCTTCTTCTTCTTCTTTCTTTTTTGGTGAGGAAGATTGGCCCTGAGCTAAAATCTGTTGCCAATCTTCCCCCTGTTTTTTTCCTCCCCAAAGCCCCAGTACATAGTTGCATATCCTAGCAGTAAGTGATTCTACTTCTTCTGTGTGGGATGCCACCATAGCATGGCTTAATGAGCAGTGTAGGTCTGTGCCCTGGATCTGAAGCGATGAACCCCTAGACCACTGAAGCAGATTATATGCACTTAACCACTCAGCCACGGGGCCAGCCCCCTGTAGTTTTCTTATAATATCTTTTTCTGGTTTTAGTAGCATAGTAATGCTGGCCTCATAGAATGAGTTGAGACATCTTCAATTTTCTGGAAGA